GAGCCTTTCCCAGCGGGATTTGGGACCGGGCTCTGCCCCGCCGCGCGGCCCGGCAGCACTAGGTGGTGTTGCAGGGTAGTTTTGTGGGGAATTGGGGAAAAGGCAGGAATTCTGTGCTGATACCCCTTCCCGAGGCTCCAGAAGTTCGTCCCGAAGGTGCTGCGGGTGCCTCTGGCCAGGGAGATGTTCGAGATCCCTTTTCCAGCCGCCCTCTCCAACAGGAGCAGGAGGTACCCGGGCATCCTTCATCCCCACACCTGGAAATCCAGGTTCAAACATCCCTGGAGATCACTCATCCCTCCGGGAAATCAGATTTCCCACAGCCTCAGAGGGGTTCTGATCAGGGGTTTCACATCCAGGGCTGAAAAAAATCCAGGGACCATTCCTATCACTCCAGGGCATCCCCAAATCTCCAAATTTCACTTTATTTTCTCAGTGGATGGATAAAATATTGGATCCAATTTCCAACCTGGATTGTCACTGTCGGAACTCAACCCCCTGAAAGAAAGGAAGGAAATTTTCAATCAGATTTTTTGGTTCAACACCAAAATATTTCAAACAAGAAAATATTTCAGGCATCAAAAACATTTCAAGCATCAAAAATATTTCAAGCATCAAAAATACTTAAAATCCAAATATTCTGAGCATTCAAAATACTTCAAATAACAAAACATTTCAGAATAATTCAGCTATTCTGGAAGTTGGAAACACTGCCAGCTCCCAGGGGAATTTGTGTTTGGATGGATCCAGAAGGAATAGAAACAGATAGGGGAAGTTTGTGGTTATCCCAAGTTGCACACAAGTAGAGATATCATAAAAGAAAGGGTTTATAAAATGTGGTTCAGGCCCTGCTGCTCTGGCTAAGCCTGCAGCCAGCTTGGAACCTGCCATGTGAAAGCCATGAGAGTGGAAGCAGTTAGCACAACAAACTGCTCTGGTAAGAAATATAAATGCACCTGTAATAAACAGGAAATCTGTCCCTTGGGAATCAGGGAACAAAACGTGTGAATTAACCAAAAATAGAGAGAATTGACAGGCACACACCCTGGCCATTTGCAGGGCAGTAAACCCAGTGTCAGGGTGTTGTTAGCCACCGTGCCTTCTGCTGTTTCCTAGAAATAAGAACTTTGTGAATAAAGAATTGGCTTTTCTGCCCTGAGAACCTGAGTCCTGGCAGCTTCCCTGCAGCATCCCCAGCCCCAGCCCCTGCTCACAGAGACCAAACAGGGCCAAGAATCCAGGCCCAGGGGGTTGGGGAACACTGGCAGGGGAAGTTTGGGGAGCCCATCCCTGGGGGTGTCCCTGGAGGTGGCACTCAGGGCTCCGGGCTGGGGACAAGGTGGGATTTGATGATGGCACTCAGGGCTCCGGGCTGGGGACAAGGTGGGATTTGATGATGGCACTCAGGTGGCACTCAGGGCTCTGGGCTGGGGACAAGGTGGGATTTGATGATGGCACTCAGGTGGCACTCAGGGCTCTGGGCTGGGGACAAGGTGGGATTTGATGATGGCACTCAGGTGGCACTCAGGGCTCTGGGCTGGGGACAAGGTGGGATTTGATGATGGCACTCAGGTGGCACTCAGGGCTCTGGGCTGGGGACAAGGTGGGATTTGATGATCCCAGCGGGCTTTTCCAGCCTCAGGGATGCTGTGCCTGAGCCAGATTCAATCCTCCTGCTGTAAAATCCCCAATGAACCCCAACATTTCCAGCCCTGTCCCCCTCCCAGCCCCAGGAATTCACCTCCCCATGTGCCAAAGTGCTGCTCCTGCCACCCCCACCCAGTGAGCCAGAGGTTCTCCTGCATTTTTCATTATTCCAGCCCTGAACGAGCCGGGAAATCCTTAATGAGACATTTCCCCAGCCTCTGTTTTACATTCTGCCTGTGGCATAATGAGGCTGGGCCGGGAGGAAACGTCCCCAGCACTTCCAGCACCTCCCACTCCCCACTTCCAGCCCTGCTGCTGGGGTCTTTCCCTGCTGGATGTTGGGAATTTATCACAGCCAGCAATAACCCCCGTGGCAAAGGCAACTCTGCCATGCTGCCTTTATTTTGGCTGGGAAGGATTCCTGCCCGTTGATCCTCAGGAATACTGGGGGATGATTGCAGCCTGATAAATCCAGCAGCAATTTCTCCTTCTCTCCCAGCCCCTCCTGCAGATCTTTCCCACTTTGGAGTTGCTCAAACCTTTACCCAAACCTTCCCGGGGAGGTTTTCCATCCTGCTTCTTCTTCCCACAGAACCCAGCCCTGAAAGTTTCATGCCTTCAGCTTTCCAGGGATGTCCTCATTAAAGAGAAGCGAGATTTATGGGGAGATGCAGCTTATTAGGCTAATTTGGGCAGCTGAGAGGCAGCCACCGTGTTGGGCTCGTTTAAATCCCGGGAGCTGATGGCTCTGCCTGGGAATTTGTCTCTCACCTGACTACTTTTAATGGCATTGCTGTGGCCTGTGCCAGGTGCACTGAGGAAGGTCAGAGGATGCCCACGGATCCATACATTTCCCTTCCAGGACATCCCCACCTGCACAAAGAGCCCTGGCATTTTCCTCTCAGTGAAAAATGGCTCTAGGCAATCACAGCTGGCTCTCAATCCTTCTCAGTGGCAGAATTTTTCAAAATGTGCCCCAAAATCCTCTTTTTTCAGCCTGTTTTCCTGTTGTGTTTTTGTTTGGGATGGATGAATTTGCTGGGGTCATGGAGAACTCTCTGTGTGCCCTGCAAATCTCAGGGATTTATTCTGAATTTCACAATCTCTGCTCAGTTGTCTGCAGCCCTCCTGAACTTTCAGCACATTTTTAGGGTACACCAGCCATTATTTAGGAATTTATTCCCTGACAGATCATTAATTTCTGAGGTTGAGACCCAAAATCTGGATCCCAAGTGTGGCAAAGGCAACCAGAGGTACCAGAAGGGTGAAAATCCTTTTTCTCCTTGCACTGACCACAGGAGCAAAACTTCCCCTCTGCCCCAATTCCAACACAAATGGGAGCTGCTCCCCATTACAAATAAATTACAAATAAATATTCCCCACCCTTCAAACCCCCTGGGAGAGCATAAGGAAGGACTCACACCCACTGGAGTCTGTATTAAAAGAAGTCCAATTCTCTATGGAAAATAAGGGAGATTTTAACATTTACCGAGTTTTGTTCCTGCATTCCTCCTGCACAGCAAAATTCACACTAAACTCCTCCTCTCTTTGGAAATTCTTGGGAGAAAAGAACTTTTTTTAAAGGGGAGAAGTGTCTGATTAGCAGAACCGAGCTCCTCTAACATCCCACTTGTTTTCCATCCTCCTGCCCTTTGGGAATGTTCCCCAGCCTCCTCTCCTGAGTCTCCCTTTTTTTCCCCAAACATCTTCTCCAAATATCAGACTTGTTTAGTGCTCGCTTTCCCCTTGGGAATCCTTCCTAAGCCTGTGCAGCCTCGGGGTGCCCCTGTCCCGGTGTAATCCCATCCATCCATGAAGTTCATCCCGTTAATCCCATCCAGAGCACGAGGGGAGGGCTTTGGGAGGAGCTGCTGAGCCCTGGCAGGATCCTGGGAGTGGGATATCCCAGGAAACTCCGGGTCAGGAATGAGGGAAAACCTCATTGCCATCCCCAGGGGAGCGCTGGGTGATGGAGGAACAGGCTGCTTAAAGCTGCTAGAGGCACTGAGCACCTGCCAGGGCAGGAATAAAAACAAAACAAAACAAAACAAAACAAAACAAAACAAAATAAAATAAAATAAAATAAAATAAATATAATATATAAAAATTGAAACAAAATATAAAGTAAAATAAAAATATAAAATAAGATATAAAAATAAATAAACAATAAACAATCCCATCCCATCCCATGGATCCCATCCTATCCCATCCCATTATCCCACTGACAGATGGGGAAGACCTTTGTGACCGTGTTTGGGATAAGCTCCCATCCAATGAATTCCCAATCCCAGCTCCCCCAGAGATCCCAGCACCCCTGGGCTGTGCAGATAAAAACAGGAATTCCTCTGCTGGATGCAGAGATTTAGGAGTAGCGCTCCCATTCCCTTGGGTGCCACACCCCAATATCTGCGGTCCCCGAGCCTGGTGGCACAGGGACAGCGGTGGCACAGGGACAGTGGTGGCACAGGGACAGCAATGGCACAGGGACAGCAATGGCACAGGGACAGCGGTGGCACAGGGACAGCGGTGGCACAGGGACAGCGGTGGGGCTGCAGGACGTCCCCTCCTGCTCATCTCCATCCCGCTCCCCTCCCGCCCGGCCGTGCTCGCAGTGTTTGTGCTGATCCAATATTTGCCTCATCCCGCTCTCCCGGCTGTGTTTGCCTCATTCCCGAGCGGTTCCATGCTGTGTTTGCTCCTCTCCTGCTCCTTCCCTTGGAAACGCCTGGCACCACCTGGGATGTGCGGCACTGAAAATCCCGGAATTCCGAAAAACAGGGAATTCTGTGCTCCCCTTTGCCCGCAAAGCCAACAATTCCCTGCCCAAATCCAGGGGGAAAGGGCTGAAGGGCTTTGGGAAGGGTTTTAGCACCATTCCCAATGCCAGGGTTGTGCTTTCCATCCTAATCCTGAGCAATTTCACTGAGGAAGGGACAAACAGCACCCCAAATATGGGATAGGGGCGGGAGGCAAGGAATGGGGGCACCAGGCAAGGAATGAATGGGGGAAGAGGAAAAAGGGATAAAGGGAAAGGGGGAAAAGAGTGGGGAAAAGGGAGAGGAGGATGCTGGAAAGGAAAGAAAGGAGGAAAGAAGAGGAGAGAGAAGGGGAAAAAGAGGGGAAAGGAGGGGGAAAAAGAGGGGAAAAAGAGGGTAAAAAGAGAGGGAAATGAGGGGGAAAGAGGGGGGAAAGAGAAGGAAAAGGAGGGGAAAAGAAGAGGAAAAGAAAGGAGGAAGAAGAAGAAAAATAAGAGGAGAAAACCAGGATTTCCCCCTTTGGGTGTCATTTAACACCTTTTACTCTCTCTTTCCCTTCCTCTCATGTCTCTTACTACAAATCATGGCTTGCCTTTCATGCTGAGGGCCAGGCTGGAAGGTGGATTCCTGGGCAGAGATGACAAACAGCTTCTCTCTGGATATCTAAAACACTCCACAACGTTCCTGAGCTGGAAGTTCTTTACGGAGTTTTGCTTTAAATAAAAAAAAAAAAAAATTAAAAACTGTTCAAAATCAACGGTGACCTTAAAGCAAGGAAATGGTGCCCATCCCTCCCTCTCCTGCTAGGGAGGAGCAGCCCTGGCAGCACGGAGCCCAGGACGTCAGGAATTCACAGGCACCAGCACTTCCAGAAGCCTTCTTGGACAAGGTTTCTGTTTAATTGGCTTAAAAAGCCACTCTTCTCCCACACAGGCTCCTGCAGAGCCATCTGTGCAGGGAATTGGCAATCTGGAGAAGGAGTCTGTGAAGGAATTTGCCCTGCTGGATGCTGGGGGGAGGAGAATTCCAGAGGTGCTGCCCAGCCGGGACAGCCAGGGCAGGGCCAGGGCTCCAAGGGGCACTGGGAAATCCAGGGGCACTGGGAATTCCAGGTGCTCTGGGAATTCCAGGGGCTTTGGGAAATCCAGGTGTACTGGGAATTCCAGGGGCTCTGGGAAATCCAGGGGCATTGGGAATTCCAGGGACATTGGGAATTCCAGGGGCACCGGGAAAGGCACAGGCCCATGGGCCAGGACAGAGAGGAAACCCACAGCGATGGAGGAGTTGGGCCTTTCAGGGTAATTGTGGTGAGGAGGTGGAAATTTGTGTTCCTCGTTTTCTCTGGAGAGAAGGAACTTGGGAAGAACAATTAGGGACTTGGGAATTAAGGATGAAATAGGGAGAGGAGCATGGAGAGTTGAAGGAAATGCTGCTGGAGGGCTCTGCCTCACAACTGCCTCATTTCCAGCATCCCCAGGTGCAAACCTCTGCCAAGCAACCATGACCTGCTTGGGTTGCTGTGGGAGTTGTTACAGGAAAAGGTGAGGAGCAGGAAGGGTTAATTCCTTTAGAACACAGTCAGAATCCTGGGTTCTAAAGGAATTAACCTCAGCCCAGAGCTCTGAGTGCCACCTCCAGAATTGCTGGGACACCCCCAGGGATGGGCACTGCAAACCTCCCTGGGCAGCTCCAGT